CTAATGAAACTGTGTGGCCCATTAAAAAGAGTAAAGACTTGTACAACAGCAAAAACAGCATGAGGAAGAACACAATTCTGCTTTACAAATGGGATCAATTGGTGTCTTCAGTCTCGAAACAATTAGTGTTATTATAAGAAAGGTGATGCAAATTTGGAATAAGCATGTACTTAAGAAAAAAATCATGAGGTAAAACATCTAATATCATGTTTTTGTACTGTTTTCAATTTAATTCAGGCCAAACAGAATTTACATATCACTGCTTTCTGTCTACATAAGCATTACATACAAATTTGTTCCATGAAACACTGGACAGCATTGGTCCTTGCATTCAGTATCCACACCAGCAGTTCACTTTGACAATTCGCTTGGTCTTTATACACTCTTAAAAACATTTTCACCATGTTTAAATTTAATTTTTTTTTTTTGGAACTATTTTTTTTAAACACACCAAAACCACATGTTCCCAATCCCAGTCCAGAAGACCCCACACTGAGCACATTTTTGAGCTTTTTTAAGCATTTTTGATGTGACTCATTGACTAATTAATAAGGTCTTTGTGGGCTCGGTCAGGTGTGTGGAACAGAGAAATATGTAGACCATGAAATCAGACTGGGATTGGAAACCCCTGGCTTAAACAGTAGTGGAATGTGGATAATAAAAACAATATTACAACATTTTTGTGCATTTTAACATTTGATGCCTGAGAATTCTATTTTAGCCAGACAATTAGCGCATACTTCACTGAATTTTATTACAATTGATTTTAACATTCCAAAATCAATCACCACCTTCAAACTGACGTATCATGATGCATTAATGCATTTTTACATGCCTTAACAGGTCAGAAGGACTTTAAACATCTAGCCACCCTAATAAGCCATGGCAAAAGTCCAACCAAAATAACTATGCCAGAGCAGTCCCCTCCAGACAACCAATCAATCAATTATTCTCTCTCATCTCTCATTCCCCTTTCTACCTCAATTCAATAGAACCTGTATTTCTGTGGAAAGTGTTTGCCCCAGTGAACTCATGTTTAGTTGAATGCAAATTACCTGTGGAGGGATAACTCATTTTTCCAGGATATAATATGGTCACTATTCAATCGCTGCATAGCCAACAACTTATTATTGCTTCAAATTGAAGTCTACCTCAGCGTCACACCAAATTGAAGCTCCTGGTGGAAAACACAGAATTTCTCATGACAAGGACTACAAGACTAATCATGAAATAGCTTTCTTTTTCCCTGTCCACAATTTTATCAAAACTCCTGCTCAAAATAGGTTCTTCACTCTCATTGTGGGAGTTTGTGTGTGTGTGTGTGTGTGATGGGGGAAAGGTCGCTCACTGGCTATGCTTCCATTCAAATCATTCTATGCACTCTTCACCCGGGTTTCCATTGTCAGCTTGACTCGTGCATTACCATAACGCATCTCTCTGCTATGACACTGAGGGTAATTGCAATTACGACAACTCTCTTTCCCTTGTCACTTTGCAGTCAAATGGAAAGCGACGATAACGTTCCTCAGCTCTCTGGCACAAAAATAAACATGGGTGGCTTACCGAGGGATCTGAGGACAGGCGGCTGAAAGAGCCTGAGGTTGCATTACCCTCTTCTTCCTTTATGCTCTTGCCTGGTAGCTGACAGCGGCAAACCTCTTGTTATCACTGCGCTATCTGTAACTGAAGTGCAGGGCCTGGCGGTTGTCAACAGGGTGATGGGCAATGGCCCACTCAGATGGGACGCAGCTGATTGTGTAGACATGATGCGTGTAACACTCTATCGCCTGTCCTCATGCTGAATTCAATGCTGGACACTTGTTTAAAGAAATCGAGAGGAGGTTATCAGTGCTACCACACACTTATCAACATGTGTCCATCTCATAATGGTGGCATTGTGTGAACCTCCCATTGAGACTACACAGACTCTGTTTACCCTTGAGAGGGCCAGGAGTGAACTGTCAGAGGCAATTCTGCACAATGTCCTCAAAATAGGAAAGACAGCGAGAGAGAAAGAAAGAAAGAGAGAGAGAGAAAGAGAGGGAAGTAAATCAGAGGGGAGAAAAAGACAGAACATGGCATTTTCCTCTCAAGAAACAGCCACCTTAGGAGGAGGTCTGGGTTTCAAATCTCCAATCATCTGGTAGGCTTCACATTTCCTCTGGACTGATATTCAGTTAGGCTTCACCCAGTATCAATGAAAGGGGATTTTAGTGATCCAAGGGCTGATTCAATCACAGCTAATTGCTATTGGCCAACAAAGGAGGGCGCACATAGAGGGAGTTAGTCACCAGCGTTCTCAAGGGCTTATCGGCACAGCAGCAATAGCAGAGCTGTCAATTATCTTTCCCCTTCTGACAGAGGCACAATGAAAGGCAGCGATCTTTCGTTTTAGGGTTGCAAACTCCAGTTCTTTTTTAAGGCAGGAAATGTGTGACACAAGGGGAATTCAGTCTGATCTCAGAGTGTTCTTGTTCCTGCACTGCCACTGAAGATGAGTTTCCCTGCACAGCACTCTCAATCAACTAATCATATTCCCATAAAAAACTGCTGGAGAATCAATAGACTACTATCTTGCATGCGCTGCAGTACAAGACATTACACATTCAGTGAGGGCCATTAATGAAGTGGCTCTGAGGTATGAAGCAGTTTTAAATGATCCAGGCAGAGAACAAAAGCTGGGTACAAGGGCTAATAGCAGAAAGGCCTGCCTGTCACACTGGTTCTAATTGCATTAGATTCTTGCACAGGCAAGCATGCCAGATCTGTCAGATGCATTTTGAGGAGGGTGCAGAACACAAGAGGCGGTCGGCAGAAGCAGAAAGGACAAGACCCTGTACAAGGTCCACCGATATTTTTGTCCCTGTGAACACTGGAGCGGCTGCTCACTGATTTGGTCATAATGAAGTGACTGGCTTTGCACAGCGTGGCCTGCCCAGGGCCAAAGCCACGCAAACCCGGACAAAACGAATGAGAAAGAAGCAATTACTAGATGCAATAAACAGACTTGGGGTTTCTCCCCAGAGTGCTGGCAATGCATCATTGTAGCTGAAACCCAAAACAGGCAGGAACCGAGCAGCAGAACTCAAACGAAAACACACCAGCCCCTCCTGACTTCTTTTGTGCCTGGTAGGTTACAGGTAGCCACATTGCTCTCATGAGAACCATATTTTTAACAATGCAAACAGCAAACATTATTTTAGTTCTGTAATAATTAAGTTTCAAGCCAATATTTTTAAGGACATGCTGCAGCCAACCAGTAGGTCGATGTATACATTAGCATATGCAAAGATTCTCACCATCCTGATGTTTTCCTTGAAACAAGATATGGTGATGCCAATCAGTAAGTTGATGCATACATTAGCATATGCAGAGATTCTCAGCACTCTGGTGTTTTTCATGAATCAAGACATTTTACATAGAAGACATATTGCGTAATGACATGCCTGCTTCTTTGTAACATAACCAACTGGTCTTTAAAGATATCTATTTTTTCTGAAAGGGATTCATTTACACATTGTCTATAAGAGCATACTGTCTCTGTCGGGACAAAAAACCTTGTATCTCCAAAGTGGTAACTTTACAGAAGGAAAAAAACATCTTAATCTTATAATAAAAGTTAGTGAAACAAGATTTTCTTCCAAGTCATTTTGGACCATTTCTACACAATTTTAACACAATGCAAAGGGTAAGTATAGTTGACACATTATGTAAAAAAGACAAACATAGAGACATAACATTTTTACAACAGGGATGATATAGTTATTAAAACCATTGATTCAGAGTTATGCATTCAGTAAATTAAACTGCTCCTTCTTTCTGACAGAATGAATGAGAGACAATGAATGAACATTTGGTAAGAGATTTCGGTAGATACACACAATTATAACCCATAATTACACTTAACATCCTTTCTAGTAAACAAATCTTTCTGCGTGGTATTTGTTTGCCTAAAGGCAAAACTGCTGACGTTCGAAGTGCTCCTACATAAATAATCTTGTGGGATGCAAGCGCACAGTGGTGTGGAAACAACTGACATCTTGACAAACTGCATAAAGATATGTTTTTTTTTTTCCATTTCTGAGCATTTAATTTGATGCTGCGTTAGCAGACAGAGATGGGTTCTCCTTTGCAGTACTGGGTCTCTCTTTGATATTCTGGTACATGAAATTTAGGCTTTTACTTATGTACAAGTTTTGTCTGGGGGCTATTCACTGTATAGGCTGTTAAATGGGCTCAAACAAAAACAATTGCAAGTAACTGGCAAACCATAACAACAATAACTACTAACCAATGGAGAGAGTTCTTTTTCAGCTAAAAGAGACACTGTTGCATGTAAAACCTCTCCTGGAATTCTGGAAGGGCAGGTTAAACTGTGCTGTGACCACTAAACAAAGAGTAAAGATGCACAACTAAGGCTATCTGAGAACGCCAACTAAAAGGAATATCTGGGATGAGTACAGGTGCAACAAGGGGTGTCCAGGGGATATCAAAAAACTTTACTCAAAACTGTACTGAAGCACAGGGAAATCCCAAAGTTAAAGAAATTATTCACCATAGAATAAAATGTACACACCCTAAACGTAATGATCAATCAATACATGTTTAGTGCCCAAAATCTGATTTGGAGCTAGAAGGCCAATGCAGTTAAAAAGTATTGTAAGTCTAAATCTTGTTTAGGTGACACCGAGTTCTATTATATTAGCCTTGTAACTCCACTGCAAAAGTAAAGATGCCAACTTCGGACACAAAACACATCTTGGCCGGCTGACTATACTTGGGCTAAGGGGAATATTGTGTAACTTTCATTTCTCTCTATTCATTTCATCTCTATAAAGCACGCTGTTTGTCCACTGTTCAGTTAGCCTGTGAACAGTGTATGTAAAGACATGAGCTGACAGTGAACAGTGCATGCAAAGACTTGTGTCAACCCAGGCCACTCACAACGAGATGCAAATGTAAAGCGATGCACTGTGGAGTGCCAGCGGGGCTCCACTCACCTGCTCTCCAGCCTCAGGCGACTTCATCAAGTGTTTCTCCCTGTACAGTGACCACAGACCCACGTTGGGCAAGAAAATGAGCGTCACGGTGAATAAAAAGGCCATCTGCAGGACACGCTTCTGTCTCCTCTTCATCGTGATGACCCGGGCGTTGTTGCTGCTGTAAGACGGAGGGGCAGGCAGAGAGGAGCTCACTCCGGCCACGAAAACGCGCCGCCTTCTCTCACACACCAGGACAAAGTTTCCCCTGAAACAAAGGCGAGCGAGCGAGCGACAGAGAGAGAGAGAGAGGGAGACAGACAGAGAGAGAGAGGAGGTTACGGACGCTAGCGAGAGAGAAACGCCAGCTAAAGCTAAAAACGACACTGAATTAGAGGAAAAACACGGATAATTTAGCCTGCTATTTAGCTGTCCGCAGCCTCCACCACTTTAGCGGTCTTAAAATGCACAAAGCACCATTTTAAGCAGCGTTCACCTCTTTTTCTCCCTCCGCTAAGAACACGATGTCGGCAGTGAATTAAATTCGACGTCGTTTTTAACGACATCCCACGACTAGCCCTGAATGTGCCCGTTAAAAACCATGAGAAATGAAAACGACTCACTGTAAAGGCGTGTTTGCATGTTGACCGACTCTCACACGCTCGCACACACTCTCCGTCTCTCACACACGCACGCGTTGGTCGGTAATCCTCCCTCTCTCCGTAGCGGCGATGCTCAACTCTCTGAGCGACCAACGGTTTTAGCGGTGCGCGCTCCAGTTCAAATTTTGAATCGCGGCTCGCGCTAGTCCCGATTGGTGGTTCTTAGGTTCTCTCGGCATTGCTTGTTGGGTTGCTTTGCGCGTTCCGGCTCATCTGGCTCGCGGCTCTGTGCTCCGTCCTCGCGCGCCTTCCCGTCCCCTCAGTGCGTGTGCGCGTGCGGCGATGAAGCCACGTGCGCGCGGTGCCGAGCGCCGCTGCAGCCGGACGGAGGAGACGCGCCTCAGCTCAGCGAGGAGGGTGTAGAGAACGGTTACGGCTAAAGACTCAGAGTGAACACGGACAGGGGGGAAATATTGATAAAACACAAAACACATATGCGCATAAAGACACAAATACGTACAGTGGCCCCAAAAAGTGTCTGGAACATTTACCTATTGGGAACCATTGTTAAACTTAAGTGGGATTCTTTAGGGTCATAAAATGTTTTGAAAATTATATTTGTTACTGAGAAAAACATTTTTAGCACAATATCAAACATATTGACTGGAGAAGAATTTCATCAAGACTGCACTGAGGGTACTGTAAAGAACATATTGGGGCCAAATCACACACACACACACACACACACACACACATACGTAGCCTATGCGTTTGTTTGTATATGCATATATATACAACCCCATTTCCAAAAAAGTTGGGACGCTGTGCAGAGTGTAAATAAAAATAGAATGCATCAATATGCAAATCATGTAAACCATATTTTTAAATGAAAATACTACAAAGACAACATAGAAAATGTTGAAACTAAGAAATTTTATTGTTTGTTGAAAAATATATACCCATTTTGAATTTGATGCCAACAACACGTTCCAAAAAAGTTGGGACGGGGGTAAGTTTACCACGGTGTTTCATCACCTCTTCTTTTAACAACGCTCTGTAATCATTTGGGAACTGAGGAGACCGACTGCTGTAGTTTTAAAAGCGAAATGTTTTCCCATTCTTGCTTACCATAGGATTTTAGCTGCTCCACAGTTCGTTGTATTTTTCATTTCATAATGCAACAAAAGTTTTCAGTGGTGACAGGTCTGGACTGCAGGCAGGCCAGTTTAGCACCCGGACTCTTTTGCTACTGAGCCATGCTGCTGTAATATGTGTAGAATGTCATTTTACATTGTCTTGCTGAAATAAGCAAGGGCTTACCTGAAAAAGACGGCATCTGGGTGCCAGCATATGTTGTCAAAACATGTATATATTGTTCAGCATTAATGGTGCCTTCACAGATGTGCACCCCACCCATGCCATGTGCACTAATCATGAATACTGGCTTTTGAACTGTGCGCTGATAACAAGCTGAGTGGTCTTTAGCCCGGAGGACACAGGACACTTTTCCACTTCACCTCAGTTCATTTTCAATGAGATGAGGCCCAGAGAAGGCGGTGGTGTTTCTGGATCTTATTTATATATAGTTTCTTCTTGGCACTTTAGAGTTTAACTTGCATTTGTGGATGCAGCGATGAACTGTTTTCGCAGGCAGTGGTCTTCAGAAGTGTTTCTGAGCCCATGCAGTGATTTCCCCTGCAGAGTCATCTGTTTTTAAAACAGTGCTGTCTGACAACCCAAAGATTATGGCCAGCAAATACTGGTTTTTGGCCTTGTCTTTGTACTATTTTCAATTAAATATAGGGTATAAATGATTTGCACATCATAGAATTGTGTTTTTCCTTGCATTTTGCACAGCGTCCCAACTTTTTTGGAAATGGTGTTGTATACATACATATATATATATATATATATATATATATATGTAAGACTTTTTCAGAAATACATGATAATTTTCTCAAGATCTCCCAAATCAAATGTTTTCCTGAGATGTGAAGCTATCATTTTTAACCATATGGTTGCCCTCACCACAGTTAAATTGCGTGAGATGTGTATTTTACCCTTTGCTGTTGTCTGCAGCTTTTTGCACACTCTAAACAAACAAACACAAGGTTTGTTTTACAGAGCGATTGTGTCACACTTTATTTCAGTGTTTAGCAAAAAATGCATTTTTACTTAAAATGATATTCTGTTTCATTTTCACAATATTTTAAATTAAAAATCCTGTTATCTTTGGAAAATAAGATTTATGTTGTAATAATGACTTAAATAGCTTGAGTTCTCAAGAAAACAAAATTAACTCATTGTCACGCCATGTCACATTTAGGTTGTTTTGAAAGTTGTGGTAGCCATTTTTTGTTAGTAGTTTGTAAAATCTCATGCATTGTAATTTTCTGAACTTCAGAATCAGTATCAGGATCAGTATCAGAAAGCTTCAGTTCATTGATGGGATCATTGAAGTCACAAGATATTTTGGATGCAAATCTGCAAATAAACTGTTCAAACGATAACGATCTAAAACACACATTAAGATAAAGCACATATTAACCAGCAGCCACACTACATGTACACACTACAACACAAACATGCACAAAGGGGAATTCCACTTTTTTCAAAAGCTCCCCATGATGTAGTGGTGAAGGTGTAAACAAAGTCATTCAGAGTGATTTCATGTGAAATGCTCCATTCTGGAGGAACTTACAAGCCGCAATTGCTCACACTGGTGATAGGAATCAGATGGCCGAAGATTTTAAATGCCTCTAAAATCTCCCTCACAGAAAGGTTTAAATGAAATGATTATGACTGCACTGCCTGATGCCTGAGACATTGTTTTTCAGTACTTTTGACATAAGCTTTTCGGCTACAATGTGTTTTTTTTCTTTAATATATTCATGGTGGAGAGCTTCATGCAGGGTGTTGAAAGGCAAAACAATAGCCATTTTTTTCACATTTTCCACTATTGTATCATCTTTAGCATTACAATAAAAAAGCCTAGTAGGTTCACTGGTTATTTTGGCTATATCTGTGTTGTTGACACCGCATCGCCTGTTTTCTATCACCACCACTGTAAAGAAATCTGGCTCAGTAAGTTTCTTTACAATGAACCATTTCACAACAACCACTTTGGACAACTTTGTTTACATTTAAACAAATAAATTGTGAAGAAATTTTCTAAAACAATGAGTGGAATTCCCCTTTAAACAAATACACACACAAATATTAACATAAACAAACACACGCACTGAGATACATATACATTAGCACACATACAAATGCACCCTCACACAAACATTCACCTCTGGTTTTCTTACCATCTGAAATTGCATCACGCTGGGCCAGATTTTCACCAACTTTCAGATCTTTTCACTCACACTCATGACTTGCCTTTATGTTTTTTCATACTGCTTTCATATTCTTCATTTCTGTCTGAAGGATGCTGTCTGTTGGTAGGCTATGAGGTTGCTACTCTAGAGGCATCTGCTTCTTTGAAGTTGTTTGTTTATTTATTTATTTATTTTGAACTGGATGCTGCGATCTTCGATGGAAACGAAGGTGAGAGGCAAACAAAGGCTGCCACAGACACTTTGTTTATGAAGGGAATCAATATATGCAGGGGTTACCTAATACTAATCGCTGCCCTTATGGTCTTTGACAAGTCAGAAAAGAAACTCTGTGAATGTTCGAGAGTACAACCCACAGTACAACTACAGTACAACCCAGAGTCTAACCCACCTAACCTATTACTACTCAATATTTTAAACGAGGTAAAATCATCAGCATGTTGACATGGCTTGAATTAGAATTTCCAAGGCCACCAACAGAGGGGGCCAGTGATCATGCCCTGCTTCGCAAACCATCTGAAGCGACTTATTTTCACAGCACACAAGTGATATACCGATTCATAAAGTGGAATGATAGTGGAAAATCCCATCATATATAATTTTACTTCTATTAAAATGGATAGCCCAAAGCAGGAGTCATTTCCCTGAGCTCACAAGTCGGTTCAGTGCAACCTTGAACCAGAACTTCATGCATAATGACCTTCACTTTATGAGCTGGTGCTCTCTATCAATTTTACACACCAGATACTACCATATGAAAAAGGGACACTTCATTGGAGACAGCTGCAGCAGTTCAAATGCTACATTAGCCTGATTCTTGGCAAATGAATAGACTGGTAAACAGATGTACTATATGACCAAAAGTATCCAGACACCCCTTCTAAGTTGTGAATTCAGCTACTTTAAGGTGCATTGCTATTGCTGCCCTTATGTTCGCCATATGTCATTACCAATAGAATCTGAGTAGCCTACGGTCACTCTGCCCAATGCTAAGTGTTGGCTAAAGGGGCTCCCCAGCATTGGGCTGTGAAGAGGTAGAACTGCGATCTCTGGAGCGATGGAGCTCCATTCAATATTGGGATGGGCTGAAGTTGTGTTTGTGATGCAGAACTAATCATCCAACACCACTACCTGACCTCACTGTGACTGAATGCAATCAAATCCTGAAAGGAATGTTCCAACATCTAGTGTAAACCCTTCTCAGAAAAGAGTAGAGGCTCTTACTGTTACCCTTGATTTCTGAAGAAACATCAGGCAAGCAGGTGTCTACAGACTTGGAAATGTGGACAAAGGCATTTAGTTGCTTGGCACAAGCCGCTTAGGAA